GTTTCTGTCTGGGTCAACCCGACCCGATCGCAACCCGTTCGATTGACCTGAGTTCCAACCAACCATTCCAGTTGAGCCGAGCCACATTCTTTGAGCCACGCCTTCGAGCCACTTTTTCTATCTCAAGCCGAGTCGATCCTAGCCGTAAGCCGAGCCGTTTCCATTTTTTGGTATTTTTATTTGTTTTTAATTATTTTTTATTTATGTGTTTATTTATTTTAGGAGTATTTTTTACATGATTTAATAAAATAAGAAAAAATAAAAATTTTGGGAATAAATATTAATTATCCAATGATGGAATTTATAAAAATTTCAAATGGTAAATTTTTATAAAATTTTTAGGTAAAAAATTTTGTCTAAATTTGTCCCAAATTGTGGAATAATATAGATAAAATTTCAATAATAATAATTAATATCTATTTTCAAACTAAAAAGGAAAAATTAAAAACATAAAAAGCATAAAAATATAAAAATTTTTGGAATTAAATATAAATTACCCAAGGATGAGATTCTTAGAAATTTCAAATGGTAAATTCTTAAGAAATCTTTAGGTAAGAAATTTTCTTTAAATTTGGCCCAAATGGTAGAATGATTTAGATCAATACAAGTAATTGTATTCTTTTTCAAATAAAAATTTAAATTAAAAATATTTGATAATTATCTAAAGATGAGATTCTTAGAAATTTCAAATGGTAAATTTTTAAGAAATCTCTAGGTGAGAAATTTTCTCTAAATTTGATCCAAATGGTAGAATAATTTAGATGAAATTTTAATAAAAATAATTATCATATTATTTTCTTTCCAAGAAAAAAAATAGAAAAAGAAAATTTCTAAATAGACCCAGATGGTGGAAATTTTAGAAATTAAAAAGAGAATATTTCTAATTTGGCCCATATGGTGGAATAATTAGATTTATTTTCAACAAAAATGATAATAATAAAAAATAATAAATAAAACTTTTTTTGACGACAGAGCCTCTTCAAGAAATCAAATGAGATTCTTGAATACTTTTGAGTTGAGAAATAACTTTTTTTAGAGTACTACCAGATTGATGGAGAATCTTAAAAATTGTTTCCAATATTTAACATTAAATTTGAAGCCATTAGATTCTAAACCTTAGGATAAATTCGAAATAATATGGAACAATCCTTTGGATAGGCATGTGGGGGTGCTATAACCTTCCCCACATGTAACCGAACTTTCGAATCATGTTCTGGTTAGTAGACTTGAACCTATTCTTTTAAAGACCCTTAGTCAAGCTTAAGATTTCCTTAAAAGGATAGATTCCTTAGGTGACCAATCACACCTAATAAAAGATTGGTGACGACTTCATTCATTTGTTAAATCTAGCTATAGATTTTTTAATCTATATGTTATGACAATAATAATCTATATACCTTATTTAAAAAAAATCCCTGAAGGGTTTTAAGCTACCACCTAATTTTTTTTTTTTTTCGTTTTGATTGTTGTATCTTTGATTTTCATGAAGAGTCAAGTAGTTTTTTAGACACAAGTTGGTTTTTGTTCTTTCTATTTTTGACAGGTGTTTCTATTCTTTATTTTTGAAGCTTCTTTTTATTGGTTGTGGTTGTGTTTGTGTTTGTGTTTGTAGCAGATCTATTTTAGCGTGTAAGGTACCCTTCGTTTATCCTGTAAGTTTTTGCTTTCTTTTTTTTTTTTGGTTTTTTTAGCTATTTTTAGGTATGATTTTTTTGTTTTATTCTATCATTAAATGTTGGTTTTTGTTTTCTTTTAGGTTTAATTGTCATTGTTTTCGTTTCATTATTGAATGGGTTTTTGGGTTTTGTGGTAAAAAGTTTTGCATATTGTTGTGGAAGTGTTTTTTTACAAGATTTTGTTTTTACATATTGTTGTTTTGAATGAAAATTAGTTTTTGTTATTTTTATTAGTTTTATTTTTTAGTTTGGAATATTTTTATGAATTTAAACAGTTGAGAAACTGATTGTTGGGTCTTGATGTTATTAGGAATTGTTCAAAGTTGTCATAAGAAATATATAGGTTTGATATGTTTTTATTATGTGATGTTGTTGAGCATTGTTGATGTACTTAAAATGTTCTATTTATTGTTCTTTTTGTAATGTGATTTATGTGTATGGTTAATGGAGAATAATTATTTATAATTAAAGAATCAAGTTCAGGAATTTGAAGATGGTTTAGGAAAGGTGTTGTCTTCACAAAATTAGAATATAGATATAGTGAGAAATAATTATAAGTAATAGGTTAGTATTTCATGAATTTACAGGATTTATGCCTCTTACTTATAAAATTGCAAGAATGTGATATTAGAAAAGAGAATTGAAGGCTCCTATCTAAGTTCCAATTCCTTTTATATGGATTTATAGGACATTCCTCTAATCGAAAATAATGTTTCTTTTTATTTTGTTGATTGCTCTCAATGAAATATGCCATGTTGCATTAAGTTACTTATGGATGTATCCATGTAATCTATGTATACTTTAGGTTGAACATGATTGTTTTTTCAGAAAATTACAATTAAAAAATTAATAGTTAAGACTAGAATAGATGTGTTGAATACGAAAACATGTTGTTGTGGATGTAACATTCTCCAATGAGAGAATGAAGTTTGTTCTAGAATTCTGTTGGAGGTTTTGAATAATGTTTTCATTGCTGCTAGAAACCTTATCATTCTATATTTATTGTTTTATGATATTTGTGAGATGAAAGTGTATTTTTTTTATAGTGTTTTAGTTAGATAATTTGGTCATAAATTGGCAATCCATTATGAAATAACTTAATCTAATAGATAATCTACCAAGAAAGTGATAACCCATTTTGAGATTACTTAATCAGAATATAGGAGAATTAATAGTTGCCTACAATGGTACCTTTATTATATGATGATACTGAAAGAAGAAATGATTATATTAACTTTGAGTAAGAGAGATCTTTCAAATTGTTAGTCATTTCGTATTAAGAAACTATCATTTGTTCTTCTTTTTTTTTTTTTTACCTTTGCCATTCCTATATGAGATAATTTATCATTTGTTTTCTTCGTACTGGTGTTTTAAGGTAGAAGCCTTTATATTCTGTAAATATTGAAATAGAAAAAAAAAAAAAAAGACATAGATTTGGGAGTATGGATGTTGGTAAAGTTTTCTTGTTTTGATAGTAATAAATGTAAGGTTTAAATTTTTACAATATAACCAATAGAATTATAGTTTAGTTTCCAACTATGATTGTCCAAAGGTGACAAGACATATTTATTTTATTATAACCAACAAGTTACCTGAGGTTATATAGGATTCTAACTAAAGTCATTTTGTTAATGATAATGTCGTCACAATTTTCAATTTCGTACACTTTAAATTATACAAATATTCTTCTATGGGTTGTTATGCTTATCTTGATGTGCTTTAATTCTAAGTTAATCAATATGTATTATAAAATATATGCTTTGGTAAATCGATTATTACTCTCAACCTTATTTTTAATTGAATGCTACACATTCTGTTCATGCACATGCATAGTTATCTGGGGACATTTTGATCCTAGCAAGTGAGCTAAGTAATGATACATCACCTAAATAATGCAGTTGAAAGAAAGATTACTTATAAAACATGTAGATATAATGGCTACGAATACAATCAAAATGTAAAGTGAAGCTTTTGAACTAAAATTAGGCAATTCATAACGTTAATTGGATTATTTTTTTGATTAAATTTAATTTTTTTGATTAAATTAAAGATAAATAATTAATTCATAGTAACTGTATATATAACTCTAAATTGAAATTTAGCTACTCTAACAAACCGAGCAAAGCTAGACTATTTTGAACTAAAATTAGGCAATTCATAATGTTAATTGGATAATTGTTTTGATTAAATTACTAATAAATAATTAATTCATATTAATTATATTTATAACTCTAAATTGAAATTCAATTACTTTAACAAATTGAGCGAAGTTGGGTTATCTATAATAATAATAATAATAATAATAATAATAATAATAATAACAATGGGTTGATTATGTTTAAAGGTTTCTACGATTAAATGAAATCATGTACAAGTCGATTCTAAATATAATATCAATATATTAAATATTTGCTCAAATCTTACCAGTATGATAATTTAAATTTCAAAATTTGCTTAAACTGATGCAAATTGTTAAATGATAAATCCTATTCCACCCAAATGATTTTTTTACTAAAAATATAAAAAATAAAATATTTTTATTTAATGTTTAATATTGTGTTTTTTTATTATGTTTTAAAATACGTATAACTAATATTTTTCTAATGTTTACATTATCATAATATGATAGTATGTGTATATATATTGGTCTTTTATATTATATAATATGTATGAATATAAAAATAATTTATCTTAAATGAATCTCCTTTTTTTTTTAAACTTATTTAATAAATTTAATATTTTCTATCAAATCCTACCAAATATTTAATAAATCTTTGAGTTTGAAAGGATAACTTAATTTTTGAACAAATCTAATTGTGTTTGCCTATAATTACCTTGCCTCTAATGGAGCGGTTTAGGTAATTTTAATTGTGGATGTGAATACGAGGATAGAAGAAAGATTTATGGGTATGTATCATGGGAATGGGTTATTTTGTTTGCATTATGAGAGTTTCATCGAAGGAGTGTTAGTATTTTGAGAATGAAGAAAAAAAAAAAAGGAGCAAAACTAGTAGATGTATTAATAAGTCGTGGATACATTATTTATTTATAAGATATTTAATGTTTTTAGGTGCGGTCTAAAACCTAAGTCACATCTATTTAGTTATAGATTTATGAATTTTTATAGATATATTAATTAATTAAATTAATTTTTTTTATGCATGCGATTTTTGGACTTATTTAGCATGGCACTAACAAAGTGGCAGAGCCCTTCGAAAGGAGGCAAGATTCGGTGCCACATATTTTATTCCTGCAGCTTCAAGTCCGAGATAGTATCATTACTAGTAAATTAATAACAATAATAATAAAAGAAAATGAAAAAGTCTATGAAATATTAAGAAATGTGAGTACTTTGGATTCCCAAAGTACATCAACAGATGTTACTATCCTCCGCTATATATGTGCCACGTCACTCTGCAAAAATCTTTTGCACCTGAACGCCACCGTATTTGTCCTCTCTCTCTGTTTCTCCGCTTTATCTTTCTTCCGCCCTATATTGACCATCGAATCTGCCTTCATCTTTCTAGTTTGTTTCATCGGCAATCGGCAAAGTGAAACTGAGACTAACCATAGCTACGTCGTTTTTGAAGTCATGGGACAGGTCCTAGACAAATTTCACGGTAAGCATTTCAACCAAGCTTTTAATTTTCCTTAATAACACAAATTTTCAGATATTAGAAACCCAGAAGTTAATTTTTCATTTTTTATCATGCGAATTATAAAGGGTATTTTTTTGAAATCTTAATTTTTATTTATATTCCATAAAAGTGTTCCTTTTTAGTAGTATGTTACTGGGTATGTTAGTTTTATTTTGAAGACTATATAGAAAGGAAATAGAAAAGGTCTTGCTTCTTGTTTTCTATAGAAAGTTAAATTTCTAATTTCTATATATATTTGAAAAAAAATGAGGGCCAAACTAAGCGGTAATTATCCTTTTGAAGAAATGGTTATTTAGAATATGATGTCTAGATGTTCACGTTGACTGGAATTGTTATTTACTGTTGAAAGTAATGAGTTTGAAGAAGTGTTTTTTCATGGCTTCTTGTTTTCATTGTTATTTACAGAAAAATAAGTGTTTGTAGACGTGCACGCGTATGTAGTCTGATGTGTGTTAAACACAATGTAACCAAAGAATTCCGTGGTGGAATAGTTAATTTGTATATAAACTATGATGTTTAACTGACTTGGTATTCTCTGATAACTATGCTTTTTAGTAGTATTTGGCTTTGTGAGAACTGATCAAGTGAGCTTGCACCGTTTGTAGTGGTATCATTGTGTATTTGATGGTTTAACATTTTGCAGGGAAGGAGTGGAGAAAGAAACAGATTATGAAAATAAGTGATAAGGTTTTTGAGCATATCAAAAATCAATCAGGAAGAGCTACATTAACATTCGAAGATCTATATATTGCTGTCCTGCTGGTGTATAAGTGAGGAATTTTGCTTAAACGTTTTTAGTTTCAATGATTTCATATATTTAACCATGCTGTGGAATATTCTAACCTTATCAGAGTTAAATGATCATTAATTATTCCTTCTGTAGTGATATTAATAAGCGTTTGCCTGGGCCGCACTTTGACCCACCCTCTAAAGAGGAAGTCAGATCACTGATGCAGGTATTCGAGAATATACTTTAAAGTTTACTGCAATGAAAGTGTTATGAATATGTTTGAACAGTTGCATTCAATATTCTGGATATATGCATCTGATTGATTGACACAGCATCAGAGGGCTTAGCTATTGATTAACAGATGTCTCACAAAAATTTTAAGAATGCTTTTGGTAACAGATGACACTGAAATTGGTAAATGTATTTCAATTTTTTTACTACGCATGTACATTAGTGAATTAAGTGTCCAAGAGTATCAAAGTAGATCCTAATTTCAAATAAGATATAGGCTATGGCTGCCCTCTAGGATAATCTTTGCTAAATAGGTTTTCATAAGGAGATCTTGAATCCACTTAAACATGCAACCGTGCATTGTAATTTTGGGTGCAGGGAGTTGACTGATGATATACTCAACTGTACATCATCTCATATTATTTAATTAAGAGTACCTGCAAATATATTGTTCTAAAGGTTTGAGTTATTCAAGGTTTTTTGGATGTTGAATGGAACTCTTTTTTAAATGCATCCACTATGTTTTCCCTAGGATTCAAATGCAGATGCCAATTCTGTAATCTAAGATACCATTTATATAGCATATTATTAAAAAAAAGGGTTCCCTTATCAGAACTCATTGACAACCTCACTTCTCAGAATTACTTGGAATTTAAGCAGTTTTTAGCATAAATATATGCACCTTATAAACCTTATGCAAAGCAAATGCAGTGACAAGTTGAAGTGCACTCAAGTAATACTGTATTTATTTTCATTACCTAAGAGTGTCAGCATCTTGGAAAGTTATGTGATATATTTACCTCTCTGGACTTGTTTACTATTCTGTTGAGTCTCATTACCTATGAGTGTTGGCAGGCCGGAAATTTATGGGACATTTTTACTTCATTTTTAGCCTCAATTTTATCTATAATTTGTATCTTTTTTTTTTCTCTAAAAAATTTCATGGATGAGCATGATATGGTAATGGTTAAAGGCATAAAGTAGTCAATTTGTTTCCTATGCAGGAGTGTGACCTCAACCTTGATGGAGAAATCGACAATGAAGAATTTTTGAAATTCATTCAGAAGCTTACGACTGACACATTCATTGTTGTTAGTCAGGGACTGATTGTCACTTTGGTTGTAGCTCCAACTGTTGCTTTGGCAACAAAGAAGGCTACTGAGGGCGTTCCCGGTGTTGGGAAAGTGGTGCAAAAGTTACCCAATTCGATTTATGCATCCCTTGTGACCCTTGCTATTGTTTGGTTTCAAACTTCGGGCGAAGAGATTTAGCAGAGCATTCTATCTTTTCTGTCAAATTATCCTCTACTATAAATGAAATAGACTATTGCTCAGTTTGTATAGAACGCTGTCTTGCAAGTTGGCTTAATAATCAGGGGTGAAACATCTCAGAAACTTCATTGTAGAAGGATTAGTAACTTTTGATAATGCATGTGATGATTGTTGCCTCCCTCTTCTATTTCGATAGTTTCTTGCCCCGTTTATCCTCTCTTACCCTCCGATGTTCATTTCTTTCATGTTTCATTGAAACTTTATATGAACAAACCTTAAATCATTATATGTATAGGGAAAATTTTTCCAAAGCAGTTTTAAGAGAATGATATGTATAAGGAATATTACATCAGCATTCTCTTTTTGGGCACGTTAATTTGGGTGATAGTGGTTCAAATCAGATTTTGTTCGATTTTTGTGAATATCATACTAAATTTGGGAAGGTTGGCTCGAACCTGAAAATTCTTCTGAATTAGTTCGTGACCGAATCCAAATTAATTTGAATTGATAAAGAAAAATCAAAGATCAAATACGAAAAAATTTGATCCAAAAAAATTTAAAACTAACATAACTCGAAGTCATTATAACTTGAATATGCAATGATCTGAACTCAGATTTAATTTGAAATCCGTAAAAAATTGAATTATAATTTGAAAAAAAAATTGAACTATAATTATATGACTCATTTAAAAATAAATAAATAAATAAATGATGAAAATTTTCTTAAATAAAAATTTTTAAAATATTATCATTTATAATTATTAACTGATTATATCAATAGTTTATTATAAAAATTAATATTTAATCTTTAAATCCGATTATAAAATAAAATTAATTTTGAAATACACTAAATATAAATATCAAATGATTTTTAATATTATCCTTATTATATTTACAACAATTATCAATAAAAAAATACAATGTAATTAATTTAAAATTTGATTTCATTATAAGAATAATCATTTACAATACATTATTAATTTATTTTAATATTAGATAAAAAATTAAATAAATTTTTATGTTTAATTGATTTATTAATATATATTAAAAGTAAAATTAAGGTGAGGATAGAACCAATTATTACTAATAGTAAATTAAAGTATAATTATAGTATACTATATTAATAATAATTTTAGTACAATTAATTTTTATATTTTATTGATATTAAGATTAATTATATTTAAGTAATTACACTTTTTGAATTTAAGGTTATTAGTATTATATTAATTAATTTAATAATGTCTACGATTCAACATTCTAATTGAATATTTGTGCAATTGGTGCATATCCAATGTTATTATATTTATGTTAATGTCAAAATGATCAAATTAATACTTTTTCAATAATGTTTACTATTCAACTTTGTGAAATTATGGTCAGTTGGTGTAATGATTATATCCGATGTTATTATGTTAATATATTTTTTTTAATTCATTCTAATGGAATATTTGATAAATTATTATATATGATTATATTTAATGTAGTAATGTTAGTATTATAATTCATAAAACTAAAAACAAAATAGATATAAATTGAACTAATTAATTAGCCAATTATTCATATTGAATTTTTTTAGTAAATGATAATTGATACTTTTTTAATAATGTCAACTATTCAGCATTATAATTGGACGATTGATAATTGATGAATATACTAATATCTAATGTTAATATCAAAATAATGAAATATTAAAATTAAATCAACATTATATCAATTAATTTTTATATATTATGATTTTTTAAAATTTTTATATTGATTATTAAGATTAAACCAATTAATTGATAATCTTTTAATGTTTACTATTTAACATTCTAATTGGACATTTATTAGTCAATGTATACGATTAGATCTAATGTAGTTATGTTGGTATTTTATTTATTTTCAAAAAAAAATGTTAAAAAATTATTGAAAATTTAAAATGCTTGTTAACAAGTTATAATATAACGAATAAAAAAGCTATAAAAACATAAAAAAAAAAAAAATTTTTTAGAGTAAGCGGCTAGGGTTAAGTGTCATTAAATTATTGAGTTAAGACTTAAGGGTAAAAAGTCATTTATAAAAATATTTAGTGAGTTTTTTTTTTTTATAATTTGCTGAATTCTTGAAATGATTTTATGTAGCTTAATGGTTTTGGACTTTTATTTTTATATATTAGATTTATATATTTATTTAGCTATTTGAACTTATAAAATATACTAAAAAAGAAATAGATATTATTAAAATACAAAATTATTATATAATAAATATTTATATAAATATTTATTAATTTCTAATTTTAGTATAACTATCCTATTTTTATTTAATTATATAAAAAGTAAAATTAATTATTATATTTGAAATTATAAAAAAAATCTATAGGTTATAAAATTTTAAAATGTTTCATTTTGTTTAAGCTCATCCAACTTGAATCAAATTGAATTAGGAATAATTTGAACCCGAAATAATCTGTATCCAAGATGATCCAAACTAAAAAAAGCCCTAATCTAAAATTATTTGAATATGAAAATATCCAAACCCAAGATGATTCGAATTTGAAAAATCATAATCCAAATTATTGAAATCTGAAAATAGCTTGATTTGAGCTTGTTTGAACATGTTCGTTTGACACCTCTATATTGTATAAAATTTTAAAATTTTAAAATCTAATCTAAACCTAAACCAACCCTCATACGATCTGATTCAAATTGAATCAAATTGAAAAATAATATTTACATATACTCAATTTTTTTACAACAAAATATCAAGTATTTAATATTTTCTTTGCCTCGTATTTATGCTTCTTTTTTCCAACTACTTTATATAGATTATTTTGTAAATTTTTGGTAGGAATGATAACAGTTCAGATCGGATTCGATTGAATTTAATTTTTTTGAATAATATATATTATTATAAATTTTTAAAATTTGATCAAATTTGAATTGACTTTCTTTTAAAATCAATTCAATTTGAATTAAATTCTACTGATTCGGTTTATTACTTTTTAAACTTTTTTACTTTTTATATATTATTTTAATAGGATTTTTAATATATTTAAATAGATTTACATATAAAATAATTATTTTTATTTTGTAAAAATTTAAAAAATATAAAAACTAATAAAAATATATATTTTGATTCGGTTTTTTTTTTTCACATCCTGATATGAAATTCAATACAAACTTAATATATACATTTAATATTCAACCTTAATCCAAATCGAATAAAAAAATTAATTCGAAACGAATTGAACACTACAGTTTCAAATCGATTTTTTATTTTTTTAATTTTTTCTCACTTTTAATTTTTGGTTGCTTTCTATTTATACTCCTTTTGATTATATTATTTATTTATGATTATTTATTTTTTGTTTTTAAACTGTTTTTAAATTATATAAATGGATTTTAATCTCTTTTACATTTTCTTTCGTTGATTTTTTGTATGAAGCGTCTATACTATTATATAAAAGCTGTTCCCATATTCTTCAAAGAGGACAGCTACTCAATGTCATTAAAAAAATTGAGAGTTTTATCAAGAAATAGAAACGTGTAAAAATAAAAGGGAGCAGGCGGAGATGACGAAGCAAGGAAAAAGGCAGCAAACTTCTTTGCTAGAATTCCTCCCAACCTTACTAAAACTCTGTCAAAATCTAATACCTAACTCAATCTTTACCAAATACCCATTACCTACAAAAAAAATATATTTTTTTCTTTTAAGATTGAAATAAAGATATTATTCATATAAAAGAGATCGTTACAGCTAAACTACAAAATCGCAAGATCTGTGCATTTCCATCTTAGCTAGAGAGTCCACAAAATAATTAGCTTCTCTAAAAACATGCACAAAAGTGATGTTCTGAAACCCAACGAAGGGACTGGACAACCTATTCAGCAAATTATTATACTTCCAAAAGCATTCACTTACTTTGTTGAGCCAGGCTCTAACAACTTTGAAGTCGCTTTCGATAATGATATCAGGCAAGGGATCCAGTTGTCATTAGCCATAATAGTAAGGGCTTCAACTATCGCCAGCAGCTCTGCCAGGTTCAATTCCTTGACTCCAACATTCTTCGAAAATATTAACAGTACTTTGCCCTTCCAATCGTGGATAACACCTCCTATTCCTGCAAGACTAGGCTTACCTATAGTTGATCCATCTACATTGATTTTCCAAACTCTTTCAGGGGGTGGAGACCATTCGATATTCTTCCTGCATTCTTTTTTATGGAGGGGAATGGATATACTTTGGAAGCTAGATACACAATTTGATGGCAAGGAATTTAAATATGGAAATTTAACATTCATCCACCAAGCCAGTCTAGTACAAATCTGACTGAAGATGTTATCAAATGAATTGGTTTTCTGCTTGAAGACTTTTTCATTCTGAGCTAACCAGATTGACCAAACAATAGCATAGAACAATATATCCCAAATAATTTGATGTCGATTTTTAACAGAGAGGTAAGTCTACGAATCAAAGACTATTGAACGAACCAGGAATAGCCCATGAGATGCCCTACTAATTGTAACACTTGCACTAGATATTTCACACCAAATTACAAAAGAGGAAAAGATGGTTAATGGATTCGGCTTCACCATAAAAAGTACATTTATTTTTCATGCTCATCAAACCTCACTTATGCAATACCTCAATCACAGGAATGCCGCCTTTTAAAGCTTTCCAACAAAAGACTTCAACTTTATGAGGAGCAAAACCTTTTCAAATATATTTTTTTTGTAGAAACAGTGTTATATGTGGCTTTCTCCAACTGAATGCAAAAAGATTTGGGTCGGTAAACACCATTTGTAGTATGCATCCATATGAGGTGATCTTAAGCTTCATTACAGAATGATACAAAATTTAGAAGAGCTGTAAACTACCTCTAGGTTTCAAGTTCCCAATCAAAAAGATTCCTTCGAAGTACAATTAGCCATTTCCAGATTTTTTGCTTCCCATTCACCATAGTTTTTTTATGAAACCATCTTTATTAATGATAAGAAAGTATGTTAGTCTGAAAGCCAACTTTGATGATAGACCTTGAATCCATTTGTCACTCCAGAAATGAATATTAGCACCATCACCTGCACAAAAAGAAAAACTAGATTGTATAATGTTTGAAAAGCACCCCCCATTCCATGTGTTTTGAATATCACTCCATAT